TAATTATATTTTAGATTTTTTATATTTAAAATGATATCTTTATCTTGTATTTGATTGTGTCTATCTGCAGTTAGTTACACGAATTTAGATATGGGATGAAATCGGATAGGGATGAAATCGTTTAGGATGAACGGGTTTAAGTTTTTAAGAGTTTTAAGAATTTTTAAGAGTTTTAGCCAAATGTTTTATAAGATAGTATAGATATATATATATATATATATATAAATACTTAGGGTGCGTTTGGTTTGCAGGAATGTTTTTGAGGGATTTGGATTCCCAGGAGGGATATGGATTTCATGGGATTTGGATTGGATTGGATTTAAAATCCATCATGTGTTTGTTTTGCAGGATTTGGATTGGATTTGAAATCCATTCCTCTGTTTGGTTTGTAGGATTTGGTTTCTAATACTTCGTATAATTTTTTTAACCTAATATGTGTTCATGTATATTCAACCTAATTTGTCAAAATTGAAGGATTTAACCTAATCTATGTTAATGCATATTCAACCTAATCTGTCAAAATTGAAAGATTTAACCTAATTTGTGTTCATAGTTTAGAGAGAAATCGAAAAGGGGAAAAGGGATTTACCTGTTGACAATGGGCGACGGAGACGAAGGGCGATGGAGACGAAGGGCGATGGAGACGAAGGGCGACGGCGACGGCGACGGTGAGCAATGGAGATGAAGGGCGACGGCGGTGGCAACGGAGATGAAGGGCGATGGCGACGGTGAGCAACGGAGACGAAGGGCGACGGTGAGCAACGGAGACGAAGGGCGACGGTGAGCAACGGAGACGAAGGGCGACGACGGTGGCAACGGAGACGAAGGGCGACGGCGACGGTGAGCAATGGAGGAGATAGCGATGTAATCTGTGACGAGAACGGTAGAAATCGGTACCAAGGACGAGAACGGTAGAAATCGGTACCAATGGAGGAGACAGCGATGAAGGGCAAGAATGAAATCCCACGRGAATGGATTTCAAAATCCCGTGTATTTTCAAAGGATTCTCAAATCCAGTGTTGGTGGGATTTTAAATGAATCCCAGGATTTTAAATACTACCATTCCTACAAACCAAACGCAGGATTTGAATGGATTTCAAATCCAAATCCTTCCAATTCCATTTCATTCCTGCAAACCAAACGCGCCCCTAGAGTAACGTTTTGATAGCTTACAGTCATCTTTTTCAATTGTAATCCTCATTTAATTAATTATTATTTATTACTATTAATTATGAATAAATATTAATAAAATTACTAATATTTATAAATATCAATTAAAAATTAATTATCAATTCTACATTATTCATTAATATTAATTATTAATTATTTACAATATTATTATTTATTGATTAAATTACACCAAAATAGAACAAACTTTCACCTGATTCCTATTTT